TGAATGATGAGAATGACTGTTATGAATTTTGTTTGTTGAATAAGAAAATTTGGCAACTATTTTTTTTTTTTTTTTTTTTAATTTTGGGTGAATGTGAAAGATTTACCTGTTATGTGGGAGGGATGTTAAAAGGGTAATACTGAATTTGTCATGTCCATAAAAGCCCAAGAATTTGCCACCATAGCTCCCATCTTCTTGGGGTTGTTTTTCAATTAAATTAGCTTGGAAGGTTATTTGAGGGAGGAAACGGAGAGTGGATTAGAGTGACCTAGTATGGTTTCATAATTCTATTCCCCGGCATGCTATGATTGTTTGGATGGCATTAAAATTGAGACTCCCCACTAAGGATAGTCTCATGAGGTATGATGTTACTTCTAATGCTAATTGTTGTTTTTGTAATATGGGGCAGGAATCCTTAGATCACCTTTTCTTTGCTTGTCCATTTATTCACTCGTATCGTGTAGTATTTTTGAGTTATCTCATTTTGGGTATTTAGTAAGACCTTGCCATGATTAGATCTTCTATCTTGCTAGAAGATGGAAGGGAAAAAAGCTTTGTTTGGGAGCTACGGTGTATTGGGTTTGGAGGGAGAGAAATAGTAGGATGTTTTGGGGCAGATGTAAGGATATTCATTCTATTATTAATTCTATCAAGTGCATTGTGAGAGAAAGAGCTATGGATCTTAAAAACTTCAAGGCCTCTTTTAGTAATAGGAGATTGGCGGACTCTTGGGGCCTTCCTAGGGCTATTTTCAAGTCATATTCCTTTGATCCCACTCTTGTTGCTTGATGCTTTCTTGGTTCAGCCGAAATTCTTGGATGCAGATGAGAAGTTTTGGGTTGAGTTTTTGTATTTCCATGTATTTTCCTTTTTTTTTTTTTTTTTGGCTAGCATTGTTCCTAACCTATGGTATGTCCTGTGATAGGATTGTTTTGTTTTTGTTTTGGATCTCAACTTTGTGTAGCTTGTTCCTTTTGGATGCTTTGTGCTCCCCCGTGGCATGTCTAGAGGTCGGGTGGTTGACCTTTCTTTTGGCATTGGGTTGTGTTTGGTGTAGAGTTAGTTGGTCCCCTCTTGTTTCCAATCTTTTGTTTATAAAGATTACAAAACAAGAGGAGTGAGTGTTGTTGGGCAACCTTGGTTGAGGTGTGCATTCCTTGTTTTCATTTTGCGTTGTTGTTTTGTTTAGCTTTTGTGTTTATTTGCTTAGTTTAGCAATTAGTTAGTACTCTTAGTGAATACCTTGATTCTTTTGTGTCTAACTTAGAGCTTGTCTTATGGTAGGATGACCGTTTTATATGGTTTTTGGTAAATTCTTTCTCACCCCCCTCCCAAAAAAAAAAAAAAAGGTAATATAAAGCGTCACAATTAGTTACTAATATACCCCTATCAAGTTTTCTTTTTTTTTTTTTTTAATTTCACAAGAGAATGTTTGGACCGTATTATGATACACTTAACGTAGTGTACACTAAAAAAGAAGAGGCATTTAATTTGTAGGAAAGTCATCTAATGGTTGAATATTATTTCAACTAAAAATCTAATAAAAACTTGCAACCCACAGCACAAGTTTAAGATAAGGACAAATACTTTTTAACATCTAAATCGCACAGGTTATGAATTTGGATACGAAGCATACAAATACAGAGTTTCGGTATACTTCTATCAGCGAAGCTGTTGAATTAACCTCATAAAAGTTGTAAAATTTATTTATAAAAAATAATTATTAAATAAAATTGAAGACTATAAATAATTATTGTAATTTATTATAAAAATATTTTATGAATTATAATATGTCAGTTTTGGTTATAATATTTGTAACAATGTAATCCAATTCACCACACATATGTAACATTTAAAAAACATCACAATTTTAAAATTAAAGTTTATGAAATGCAATAAATTTGTTTAAAATTAATTATAACCATTTTAAAATTATAGTTTATGAAATGCAATAAATTTGTTTAAAATTAATTATAACCGTTAATTGGTGAGAAAAACTTCTATATAATTTTTCCAACATGTTATGCCTACAAAGGTAGGGCTGACGTGGAGCCTCATCAGCAAGGCTCAGTCAGAGCTCAAGAAGGTTCTGTATCGTCTAGGTACAGCCACGTCGAGCAATGGCGCAAGTTGCATGGTTACTGTCAGCGCAGTAGGTGGGTGTCAGTCTTGCAAGCGGTTGGAAATCACCTACGTGTCCAAACCCTGCATTAGTCGAGGAAATCCCTCGGGCAGGTGACCAATGGAACGCAAAGAAGGATTTGCATGGTACCTACCCACTTACAGATTTTGTAATCATTACCTTAAACTTCTTCATTATAAATAGATGTCTTCCCTCTCATTTGCAGGATTGATTAATTTTACTCTGAAATAGCTTACTCTCTCTCTCTCTCTCTCTCTTTGTATTCTCCTTAAACTGTAACTCAACTTGCTGCATACGACATGTTTTTACTCCTTTATTAATACAATAGCAGTAGACGTAGGATTCGCTTTTGAGCATCCGAACCACTTTAAATATTGCTTCTCACCTATTATTTAATTTGATATCCCCATATCAAGTGTGATTTCTAAGTTCGCTTAATATTTTACACGTGCAAGCAGTTGGTGTCAAAATCAAGCATCAACACAACATATCTTGGATATGATATAAATGACCCTAATGTCCCCTGAATTTTTGTTTGACAGCCTAAAAGTGGAGGTAACTTTTGGGCGTTCTCACAATTTTACAGAATATTTTCGCAACCTAATTCCATGTGTAAACTTTTCATTTATTTTAACTTTTGACATGAAATGACCATAACGTCCCTTGACAGTTTGATCAGCAATCAATTGGCGAAGGTGTTGAGGTAATAAACCAACTGTTAAGGAAAATGGTCTCAAGGTAACGGTAAATCTAGACATACTCTTTTATGATTTTATTTTTACCATTGTTCTAAGTTTTAAATTAAAAGGTAATACTACACACACAACCTTTTTATACAAATTTTCTGTCACAAAATTATGTGACAAAAGGTGATTGGGTGAAAGTTTATTTTAAATTTAAAATCACTCAAACATCTTTTGTCACATAAGTTTACAAGAAAAAATTTGTGTAAAAAAAGTTATAATATATGTTGATTAGTTATTAACCATAAAAGTTTTTTTTCAGTTTTTTTAATATATATTATTATTGTTAATCTCAATTGTTTTTTGGGCAAGTATTTACTATTTTATTTCTAATTAGGGGAAAAAAAATCAATTTAAATGAAATTTGATCTCATAAAAATGTAAATTACACGCTTGTAAAAATTAAGAACGAAATTTTGTCAAGAAGCCTATTAACCTCTTTAAAATATCTAATTACAAAATTTAAATTATCTTTAATGGTACTTTACAAAATGTTTTGAGGAAATAGATCAAAAAATTGAATTTTGTATTTTCAAAATTTGGGAACAGATTTGGTATCATTTATAAAAGCAGTATTCTGAAAATAAAAAATAAAAACAATGAAAACACGTTTTCTACACTTTTTTTTTTTTTTTGAAAAAAAATATATTTAATCTTCTTTTCATAATGATTTAATTCTTAAATTTACTTAAAAAAAGTTATAAAATACGGTAGAACAGAAAATAAAACATTTCACAATATTCAAAATTTTAACTTTTTGAAAGGCAATCTCCTATTTATTGTGAAATTAATGGTTTTCTTGGCTATTAGCTCGGAATAATTCAATCATAAAATTAAAAGTAATGTTCTCTCTTACGTTTTTTTTATTGCTATTCTTATGCCAAAGGTGGTCTTTTGATTTAGCTTTAGCTTTTTCTCTATTGGATTCTTCTTTGTTTATATTAAAAAGAAACAAAATCAAAACGCATTGTCCATATTACTTAAATGCTCTATTTTAAAACCCGGCCCGACCCAACCAGTTTAACCAATCTAATCGAGACCCAGGGCCTTCACCAAGCCGGTCACCATTTCCACTGTTCACCAATTTCAATCTCAAACCCTAGAGAGGAGAGCGGCGGTCAGTGAGCAGACAGTGGCGAGGATGTTGAAGGTTTTGGAGAGGAAGTGTCGACAAATTGAAAGGTGGCGACAAAGGTGATTTTCGGTGAGTAAATCGATCGAAAAAGATAAAAGTTGCACAGTCACAATAGTGGGTTGTTGCCGAGAATTGGTAAAGCGAACGAGGGTGTGAGATAGGTTTTTGTCAGGAGGCTGAGGAGAGTGTTTTCATTGTGATGGGAAGTGTTGTCGATGCAGGAAAAAGGCCCTATTTGGCCTGGGTTGTCAACGCTGATGGTGGTTTCTTGCCACAAAATGTTTCTATTTCGACCAGGTCTTGGGCATATTTGCTGAGGAATGGCTCAAAGGATGAGTGGGATTTGCATTTGTTGTGTCACCGCCACCAACCAGTTGACCACCGATTTACATTTGGGGTATGTTTGTTGGATTTCAAACTTGTAGGGTGTAATTTTTTACGGATGTGTTTGCTGGATTTCAAAATTTCTGGACACACTAACGTCACCGGTTTGATCCGTCATTCAAACTGGTTCAATTAGTCAACCTGAGACCCGACCACTTTGCCAGGTTTCACCCCAAATCGGTTATTAAAACACTGCTTATATGCAACTTTGTAAAATGGGTACCAAGATGTTATAAGATAAAAATATGAATGGATATCACTTGACTATCAAATCTTTCGTAGTAAATAATGTTTTGATTAAAAATAAAGAATTATAAACCTTAAATGAGATTAATGTTTGATTATTACCAAAGCAAAACATTGTGCTAATAGATGCTTTTCTTTTCCTATCATTACGCCAAGTATTTATTACCTTTACTTCTAGCTTTAGATTTCCATCATGTAAGTCAAGTATCTTTTTCATATTTTAAGTTTGTGTGCTGATCAAGAATTAATGTTACTACTTTTGTCTATAAACAGCAGTAACATTGTCTTACAATTAATTTTTACAGCTACCGTTTGAAAAACCAATTTGTAATAGAGCAACGGAAAACAAATGGCAGAAGGCATTATATTTAGCATTGCGGGGAAAATCTTGGAAGAGTTGGGGTCCTCGGCTGTCCGAGAAGGAAAATTGGCATGGGGTGTTAAAGGTGAGATTAAAAAACTTGAGAGCACTGTCAACACTATCAAACTTGTAATTCTCGATGCTGAGGAGCAGCACAGCAAAAACCGAGAGGTAACAGATTGGATCCAAAGGCTCAAAGATGCATTTTATGATGCAGATGACTTGTTAGACGATTTCTTCACTCAACTTCAATGGCAAGAGGTATTGAGTCGAAATAAATTGGCAAACAAGGTACGGATCTTTTTCTCCAAATCGAATCAAATTGCATATAGTTTTAGAATGGCTCATAAGATTAAGACTATTAGGGAGAAACTGGATGAGATTAAAAATGATAGGCATTTCCACCTTTCTGAGTGTCCTGTTGAAAAAAGAGTCATAAATATAGAAAGGGAAACACACTCTTTCATACATGTAGAAACGGTAATCGGAAGAGATGATGATAAAAATAATGTTATAAGACTTCTATTGGACTCAAATGATGATAAGAATGTTTTAGTTGTTACCGTAGTTGGACTTGGAGGAGTAGGAAAAACCACACTTGCTCAACTTGTATATAATGATGAGAGTATCATAAACCATTTTGAGTTAAGGATGTGGGTGTGTGTCTCTGATGATTTTATTATGAAGATAATTGTTGAAAAGATAATAAAATCTGCAACTCGTAAAGAACTTGGAAATTTTCATTTGAACGAATTGCAGGAATTCCTTCGAAAAGAAATTAATGGGAAAAGATATCTACTAGTTTTGGATGATGTATGGAATGAGAATCATAATAAATGGAATGAATTGATGAATCTATTAATGAATGGTTCAAAAGGAAGTAAGATACTAGTTACTACACGTAGTGAAGTAGTTGCTAAGGTTACTAGCAAACTTGAATCTTATGTCTATCCCTTGAGAGGACTAGATGAAAAAAAGTCTTGGTCTTTGTTTACCCAAAAAGCTTTTGAACCTGGGAAGGAACCAAAAGATTCGAAATAATAGAGTTTGGAAAAGAGATTGTGGCAAAGTGTGGTGGAGTTTCTGTCCTAATGACAATAGGACAATACTTTTGGTAATAATAAGGAGATGATTGGTTGAATTTTAAGGACAACGAAATGTCAAAAGTGATTAAAGAAGAAAGTGATATTTTACCATTACTCAAGCTCAGCTATGATCATCTCCCTTCAAACTTGAAACAATGCTTTGCTTATTGTGCATTGTTTCCTAAGGATTATAAGATTAATAAGCAAAAATAATTCATCTTTGGATGGCGCAAGGGTTTCTTCAGACATCAAACAATGAATGTCCAGAAGATGTGGTAATAAGTATTTTATGGCTTTACTTTGGAAATCATTTTTCAAGATCCACAATATGGTAGATGGGGCAATGTAACCGATGTAAGATGCATGATCTTATGCATGACCTTGCACAATCAGTTGCAGGAACTGAATGCATCATGCAAACTTTTGATAAGGTTGAAGTGTGGATGTAAGATGTCGTCATTTATCACTTGACTGTGGTGAAGTAAAACGATCATGGACATTCCAGTTGTATTATATAGTGTCAAAAATATAAGACTTACTTTTATTTTATCGATTAACTGGGGTTTCAACTTGAATGGTGGTGATGAAATTTTAACAAGTTATAAGTACTTACGAGCATTAGATTTTGGAGAGTAGGTTTCAGAAATTATTGAGTTCAAATGGTAACTTTTGAGTTTAATTGGTGAATGAAGCATTTGCGATATCTCAATTTTTCTTGTGTGGATATTAAAGTACTCTCTAATTCACTATCGAGGCTATAATTTGGAAACATTAGATCTTTCTTCTGTAACGAACTTAAGGAACTACCAAGAGATATTAAAAAAATGGTGAACCTTAGACATCTTATAAATAAAAAATGTGTTCTTTAGTGGAATGCCATATGGACTAGGGCATTTGACTAATCTTCAGACTTTACCACTATTTGTAGTAAGTGAGAGAATTACGGAAGCCGACAGAAAAAGCAAACATAGGGGACAAAGGAATTAAATGGGTTGAAGAACTTGAGAGGAAAACTCAAAATAAGAATTAAATTGAGGAAAGTAGCAAGTTGGCCAACTTAGAAGGGAAGCAATTTCTTCGGTCTCTAACGTTGGATTGGGGGAGAAGTGATGATGGAAAGGTTCAAGGAATTGATGAAGTGGGGAGAAGTGATGTTGGAAAGGTTCAAGGAACTGATGAAGTGGTGCTAGAAGGTCTAAAGCCACACCCAAATCTTAAGGAAATTAGCGTAAGTCATTAGGGTGTTAAATTTGTGATTGGCTTTCCTCCCTCACAAATTTAACTTCAATTAGTATAAAAAAATGTAGAAGATGCCAACATACCACCACATGGATAAAATTCTTATTGAAGAGTTTGTTTCTAGTCATCTAGATGATTTGGAGTACATTTCAGAGGAAGCAAGTAATAGTTCTTCCTCATTATCAACAACATCTTCCATCCCTTGAGCAAATCACCCTTTATGATTGTCTAATTAAGGGGATGGTGGAGGAGAAATTGATTATGAAGATACGAGGTTGCCTTCATTTCCTTGTCTTTCCAAATTAGATATACCAAATGCCCCAATTTGATATTGATGCCGCTATATCCATCTTGGAAGAATTAAAAATTGCTCAAGACCAGCTCGAAACCGCTGGAGCGGACGATGACGATGACGTTGATGAATAAAGGGGAACTCAACTCTCTCTTGCTTTTCTGCCCCTTCTCCAATTTAAAGTCAATGCTTATGATTAAAATTTCTGATCTAGAATCTCTTCCAATGGATGATGAAAAAGCGACTTCTCTGGTGGATTTGAAAATTTGTCATGTCCAAAAATACTCAAGTGGATCAAGCATTAAAATTTCTCCCCCTCTCCGATTTGAAAATACATCCCATGAAGAAGGTGAGCCGGAATGGGAAGGTATCGTGGTAGGGTCTTCGTTACATACCTGATTGGGTTTGACTTCAGAGGAGAGTTCTTCGTATACAGGTTAATATTTCTCTTCAAATTTATCCATCGACCTTTCTTGGTGTGTTTAACTTATTTCTTGTTTCTTGTTTTGAGTAAATAATGTTACTAATTAATCTTTTCTTTCAAATGCTTCTGTTTCAGTTCGTTGTTATTCTATTGCCATCTTTTGTTGCTTCGCAAATACGCAGAGCAAGAATTATAACTACTGGGTAATATTTCTATTCTTCCGTTTACTAAGATGAAGAAAAAATTCAAAGAATGTATATATATGTTAATTATAATGTTTGTGTGGTTATCATTTAATGAAGTAAAGAGTTGTTACCTTGCGATGCCAGAGCATGAATGGAAGGTGGATTTTTAATTAGCCACTACCTGTTTCGTGATTTAACTCTGTATTACATATACGATTGATTCAAATGAATTTTAGTTTGTTCAGATTCTATGACTTGGATATGAAATCGCAAGGAATGAATGATTGAAAGCGCTTTTGTTTTTTATGGTAAGGTTGATATAGTACTCTCAAAACCTCTCTCCCTTAATATTTTTGTATTTTCTTGTGGGTAATAGCTGAAATTCTCTTCGGTATCTCTAATGTATAGTTAACTCTTGAAGTATACCTAATATACAATAACTTCTTTAAGGTAATAGTCAGTGATTGTAAACAGAATTTACCCTTGACATAGTGAGATTAGACACATTAACGAAATCATAACGGCAAATGGTTAAGGGCGATTAGATATACCTTAAAGGGTGTTTTAGTATATTGGGAATACCTCAGGGGGTTAAACATTTATGTCCTTTCTCTTTTCTCTTTCATTTTATCATCTTTATTCTTTTGGATATCTTTGCCAGCATATATGCTAGCGTTAATGCTTCTGAAGATGAAACCACCGCTACTTAAGCATTTTATAAATTGTAAGTATCAAGCTATAATGATGTTCTTTAATTGTACTTTCTTTTAAATTCTCATTCTCGCTACTAATATCTGATATCAAAATTACATACAGTTGGTGGAAATTGATAGTAGGCTTTACTCCTTGGCCCTGCCCTTCATAAGTTGAACCTATAAGAGCAGCAATTGAAGTCTCCGATTGATGATTTGAGCTTTGGAAGTATCACTTATGCTATTTTGGTACGTTATTTTAATATTGTATATTGTTAAGCAATTATTTTATCTTGTACGCCACCCCAATCTTCTAAAATTCAAAATAACACTTCCACTGTAGTAATGCACTAAAGATAAAAAAAGAAAACATTACATTTATGATACAAGAAATTTGACTTAATTTTGTCTATTACAAGGACATACGGCCATCAATAATACTAATACATGTCCAGATTATAAAATAAGGACTTCCGCAGCTAAATCATTTTAAATATTATATATGTGTGTGTACATAAATTTTTATAATTTAGTTGATATGTGTGAATGTAAAATGAGGTGATCAAAAACTACATTGCTATAAATACGAGGGATGAACTCCAAAGCTCGATCGAACTCTTTAATTGAGATTCTCATTACCTTCCACCAGTTGAGGTTGCCTTGGACTATCAACATGCTTCACATGTTGTTTATAGTTATACTCACTTTAATTGAGTAATTCTGTTGATTTATCATCTTATCTATCATTTCTTTTAGCACGAACAAGGAAAGGTGGTTTCATGAATAACAAACGGTGTGTTACTAGGGGATTTGTTCATTTATAAAATCCTTATGTATTTTGTGAAAAATATAGAAAATGTTTAAACAGTGTTGTTTAAATTATGTGTATTCAGAAAATAAACACGTGTTAATATATTGTTTGAAAATAATATTTAAAAAAAAAAAAAAGAACGTGTTTAATAGTTTGTTAAAAACTTGGTATTTTAAAATAGAGTTAATTAGCAAATATAAGAACTGATTAGATGCCAGTATCGGTATTTAACATATTCAAAATATCCTTAATTGAATGTTATTTTGCTTGAATTGAAGAGTTTAAATAATTAAAAGTGGTAATCAAATTGATTGTGACTTCTCAAGAAAATAATTAAGGAGGTTAAAAGTGGAGAGAAAGCATTGTAAGAAATAATAATATTATTGTTTTGCTTGGTTTTTGTCTATGTAAGTATTTTTTGTCAATTTATGAATTCTAGTAACCACATTAGTTCCCAATGTCAAGATAACGTTGTTTATGCACAACCCTTTTTGTAGCCTTGTGGTCATGATACTCAATGTTAGTGTCGAGCATTCTTCCAATCATATTTCTTTTTGTACAGTAGCATTTTTGTTGGAACGTGGATTTCTTTGATGATGCTTGATGGGATTTCGAGCTGTTGGAGCTGAAGTGTATCTTTGGTGTTGAACCTTGAGTGGAGCTCAGGTGTCTAGGTGGTTTCCTGGTGAGAAGCTAGTTGTGGTAGAATGAAGTTCAACCAAAGCGTAAAGTTTGAAGTGTTGTCATAACAATGAAGTTTTACAACTGATGTTTAATTTGTTTTGTAATTGAACTATATGTTTATCATAATGGATTAACTTCATCTGGACGAGGTCCCATGGATGTAGACAGTTGGCCAAACCATGTAAAATGATTTGTGCGCTTTACATTATGTCAAAGATGTTTAGTTTATGTTATGATGAATGAACAGACCTAAAGCACAAAATGAACATGTTTAACCCATTCCGCATGAGTTTAATGAACTTAGTAAAGCCATAAAACTTCCTGTGTAACTTTAAAATAAAGTAAAAGTCAAAAGCTAAGTTTAACAATTTTTTTTTTTTTTTTTTTTTTTTTTTTTTTTTTTTTTTTTTTGTGAAAACGTAATACCTAAATGCTAACCCAACATCTTCTTCATGCTTCCGCAGATTGAAAAATGAAAAAACGTGATAATGAAAAAGTTGTTGAATGGCCCAAGATCATTTGGATATTATTTAAATAAAGATTAAAGTAATAATGGGAAATACTTTTAGCCCCCTCTATTATTAATGAGTTCATACAAGTATTTGTATCGTCTTTTTAAATTCTAAAAA